TTAAGAAAAGGTTCTTGTTCACCTCTCATTGAAGCATACGGATAGAGGATGTGGAATAGTAAACGATATTCCTCAAGCCAATAAGCATATCATATCAGAGCCCTTAGATTTTACCCATCGCAAATACCTTTACTGGAATCCACGTCATTAATGATACCTTGGTGCATGCGCCTCGCTCATCATAACGCTCTCTCTCGCTCCACGCCGTTTACGCTTCTTCCAACACCCAGTGTTTCTTCGCCACGCATTTGTACAGTACACAAAATGAGTTCCAAAAAGATACGCCTTGTTTGAACGTTTCGACAGATCCTTTTACTTTTACTTCAGCGGTAGGTCACGCTGCGCCTAATTTCATTTTTTTGAACCACTACTTAGATTCCGCAGTTGCTACCCTTCTTGTCACCGACTTTCCAGGTGAGAGAAAGCGAAGATACTATGCAGTTCGTGGTGGGGTAGCGGACGTTCGCTGACGTGATGCCATCACTGAGCAGATCTCAGGTCCCAATTTTCTGCTGAATTAGCTTGATTTACATTATATCAACATTATAACACCGCTCGCACAGCACACCAAAATTTTTATAAAATCTCTGCTTGCTTAAAAGGGAGCTAGGCTCATCACGACTCCATTCACATGGATGACGCTACGAAAAGAGATGCTGGCCACCACATATAGGGTATAGTCTAAAATATATCCATTGCACAAACACGTAAGAGTACAAATTTCGACATTTCGCTTTGCCTATGTATTCAGGGGTAAATTTTCGGGTAAAAATGATTTGATGAAAGAATTGCTACTTACTACGTGGACGGTTAGGAGGTGAACCCCGGGGTGGAATCTCGCCCGAACCCAACAAAGCCCTCCATCCCTTCGGAATCATCGACTGATACAAGCTTGGTCCCGTAAGTTGAAGACACAAAGTTCTACGTTAATAGCCCGCCCCAAGTCAGTATAGACCAAGCCTTCAAAATGCTACTACGATTCTGAATGGAGGCAGAGTGCATGGCGCAACCTAAAAGGGATCGACCAATGTTTATGTGGATTTATCTAATTACATTCCTGTATGATTAGCACTTAAATACTGAACAGTAGCAGAGTTAACCTAAAGCGACAACCACAAATGAGGTCGTGTGGGAGAAGCTAACCTGTGGGTGAGATAGAGTGCTTCATGAGACAAAGATGCCCTGTCACAGGCTCGGAAAAGCGCGACAAGGGCGCTAGAGCCTTACGTAGTCTGGGCGACTGATGTGAACTTATGGACGAGATACATTGCGCAGAGCCACACTGACATGCAGCTAAAGGATATACGCACTAGGCGCTGCATTCAAGACGCGCTGGAGCATGGGCCAATGCAAAATTTGTGCACTTCGTATCGAACCGCTGCCCCTTCTTACTTCGATAGAAAACAGATCGGGAATACTAGCTTGTGGGCGTTGTTTGCTATTCCACATAGGCTTGCTACGGGAGGGAACAGATTCATTCGCGTCACGTTCGAACAATTCGTCAGTTATCTCAACCTTACTTTTATTCACAGCCGCACGACCAGTTTTTCTGGGTAGAGAGGAAATTCTATCACTCCCAAATCATATATCCCGAAATGCAGTATAAATCTATTCCGTCGACAGCCTCTTATGATAGCGACAACAACAGGAATATGCATATCATGCCAGGGGTACAAGTAGACCGAATAGGGGAAAACAATTCATGGCCTTCAATCAAACTGTTTGTTTTGTTTGAAATTTCAGTCCATTTGGCCGGCCAACTAATTTATTTCATGAGCCTGATCCACCCAACAAAACCTTGAAAGTCTATCAACAAATAAAAAAAGATAACTGTCCAATCCTGGCATCTAAAAATGAAACAAAAGACCGTGAATCTTTTTCGAACAAAGTATGAGTGTAAATTAAAACATTGTACAACTAAAACATTAATCAGTCAAATAAATAGCGCTTCACAAACCTTCATAGATTGCGTCGTTTTTGCAGCGTCGGTGGTCAGTGGCGGCAACCGTACTCTGCAAACGTCGAATCTGCTCTCTCAGTTCTGTTTCTCGTTTCTCAGCTTCCACCGCTTCTACGGTTGACGTTTCTTCAACAAGTAAAAGGTGTTCCTTGAGCCTTTGCAATTCTCGAGACATCTTCTCGCGTGATTCCCGTTCTCTGAGAAAAATTCTCGAGATTTGGACAACCGAACTGTGTAGCTACCAACGCTATAATTTCGCTATAATATAATTTCAAACAAATTATAAGCGGTTTAATCCATACTCGTTTAATGTCTCGGCAGCACGTCGCTCAGTATCTGCCAATTTCTGTTCCAACGCAGCTATCTGAGCAATCGCAGCCTCTAACCGAGCGAAGTAATCCACACTTTCCGCATGTTTCTGGGTTGCAACCTAAACGACCTTTAATTGCTTCAGAGCAATGGAAAACTTCGGTGTCCAAAAAAGGTACTACTGACTCAGTCAAAGAAATACCCTGAAGAGTTTAGGAACAAATCACAAACACTTAGTGACCTCTGAGTAAACTACCTGTCGAAGTTGCTCATTCTCTGCTGTCACCGTATCCACAAAACTCATCTTTTCACTCAGTTGCTTTCCGGCGTTGGCAAGAGCCTGGAAAGAACGACACTCGAAAAAGGGTTGTTGCGAATTGGCATCAATGCCGATTTACGGAGAAAGGTCTCAGAGCTTGTGTAAAGATTTACGGACGGGTTCCAACCTCCTTCAGTTGAGTACACTCCTCCTCAAGGCGTTCTATCCGTTCAGAAAGCTCTTCCTTTTCTTGATCAACCTCTTGAGCAGAAAATGATTGCTGAAACATTCTTGAAGAGCTAGTGGGGTAAGCAAAAAAATTTCGTTACAAGCTGTCATAGCACTCTGAACAAGCTTGAAACTAGTTTGCGACAGAGATAGCCCGGTACCTGCGCCAAGTCGGAAGTCTCTAACGTGGAAGCAGTGAGAAGCTCATCACTATAAGCCAGCTTGGAGTGATCGGAGGAGCATTCCAGCTGGAACATGATTCAGTCAATGAAAAGACATTCTAGTCAGTACAGCGTTTAGCACACTGAGTGTATAGTAGTGGATGGACAAGTTGGAAAATAGAGCACTTATTGAGAAATATAGAGGAGTAAAGTTATGACGTATTGACCACTGAATGGACAAAGAAGCCAGATAAAGAATTCCGCCATCCCTGAGTTTTCAACACATCTGTAATCCTAGTAGCAAACAAAAATTGAGAAACAAAAATCAAAATTAAAATGTCATCAAAACACTAAATGCGAGGTCTAGCTTCACTTAAACAGCCCGAATATGATTGCGTGCCGATTAGCCGATCGTAGAGGTGTTCAGAGTAGGTGAATGCACGGAAACTAGCCCTTACTCCAAATTATAGAATACTCGAGTTGGCGGGGGATAGAGACATATCACAAAAATCTGCAAAGGCTACATGCAATGCGTCGCCGCAAGACATTTTTCAAAACTAGTGCTAAAGTTTGGAATCTGACAATGGAAAGCAGGAGACATTACGTCCTTTATAACAAACTACAAACCACTTAGGAGTTAAATTATCTCGAGCAGAAGCTCGCCACAATCAAAGTCGTAACAGGGAGAATCGCATCAACAGAGAAATTTCCATGCGACAAACTTAAAAAAGAGGCTGCGATACTACCAGAGGGAAACACTGTTGCTGCAATACTTGCAACGCATTGCATTGTTTGTCATACTTGATTCCGACCGAAGTAGACACGTCTAATTTTTTGAAACGCTCGCAAATTCAAGTCAAATCAACTCTAAATTAAAAAAGGAACGAACTTGTTCTAGATGAGAGTCAGGGTGGACATACTCCGGCTGTTTTCGATTCAACTCCTCACTCATCGTATTCAGCGAGCGATCCTTTTCCAAAATCTGATAGTGAAGAAGAAAAATAAATTGATAGTGGTTGGTAATTAATGACAAAATGTTTTACACAATGATCCTAAAATTCCGCAACGTTTTTCAAGCAATTAACAGATTTCTCGGAGCAGATGTAACATGGGCTTCTAGCTCGAAAATAGGATAGTGCGCCAAGACTCAAAGGGACCTAGAGATCCAAGAGAAGGAAGAAATATATTCAAACCTGTTGCTTAAGTTGAAGGTTTGCTTCCGCTGCAAGCTGTAATTGCACTTGTAAAACATTTGTTTGAGCTATCATCTCATCCACACAGGACTGTCGCAGCTGTAAGTGCAAAGATTTACGATCCTTAGGCAAAAAATGGTGACAGCTCAAAAGAAAGATGAAGGTAAAGATAAGGACAACTCAAAAAGTACACGAAATTAAATTTAATAAAAAAGGTCAGCTGCAGGATCCATGGGAATGAAAACAATACCGTGACTTCCTTTTCCAAATCATCTGTCTGCTGTCGGAGCTTTTCACATTCCTCCGTCTTCTCCGCATTTGCTGCCAAGGCTTCACGTAACTGAGCAGTAAGAGCCGAAACCTATAATAGTACGGACTTTTGACCCTAATTAGTTTGTATAACTCGCATTCTCTGCCGGGTGAAGAAAATTCTACGGAATAATAAGCTTTTTGAAAAGTCACTATTCTGACACATGCGCGCATGGTTGCCCTCACAGAGCTGTTCCCCTAGAGAGGTAGATACGCAGAGGATCCACAGTGCGGCACCTTAGAGCGAGAGATTACGATAAAGGGAGGGTGCAGCATGCAAGCACGTGCACCAGTGGAAGCAGTAACCAGGGGCCGGAGAAGTGGCCGTTCGCACTTCTCGCGGCCAAAAGTGCGCTAGTTGCAGCGCCTTAGGGTTGCCAATACTTTCTGAGCTCAGCCTCCGTCTGTGCTCCGCTCACCTCTACACACAAGAGCAGCACAGTTCATTTCAATCTAAAAAGGTATCTTTTCACGGCCGCATCCTTTTAGTTTTCTGTGGAGATGTTATCCACTCAAAATTATCGTTTGGAGTTGCATGGTGGGAGGCATCGGCCCGTTAAGAATGATGCAAACGACGACCTATGCGTTAGTTTATTACTGGTCGTCCATAATGGAAATCAAACAGGCGATTGAAGATCACGTGAATTTTGCGACTTTCGCTTTCTTTCCACTGCCGCATTATATTTGCCCATCATACATACACTTCTGCATGCAACACTAATCTTAGCACTGCATCCCTCGCTGAGTAGCTTTCTGACGCGTAGGAATCTACAGTGCTGTTTTAGCAAGCCTGTCAGCAGAGGAAATGTGTTTATTCGTAGAACATTCGTTGGAAGGTCTGGTCTACTCAATGAAAACCGGGCCGGGATAGCTGGGTAATATCAGTTTTCAATGGATGAGGGAAACAAATACCTCGTCCACATTGTCTTGAGGAGGTGGATTCTGATTTCGCTGATTATCATCGACCTTCTCCTGAAGAGCTTTTAGAGATGTCTGCAGCTCTTCCCTGTGCTCTTCCAAAAGTCTGAAGATGTGCAATAGTGTGAAAAGGAGAAAAATTCAAAATTAAAAACTCACGAAATTTTTTCTTCCAGAAGTTGTGTTTTCTTTTGATCTGTTTCCTCCTGTTTCTTCATTTGAGCATTGACCTCAGCTAATAACTTCGACTCTTCAGAAAGCAACCTGAATCAATATACGAAAAATCAACAAGCAAACACTGGTTGCTCGTATAGCCCTTAATATAACCCCGAACTGCATGTGTTCAGAAAACTAATTCACATAAACACATCCACGCCGATGGCCGCCCATATGGGCTGCCAGCTGATAATCGCTTGCAAGGCGCTAAGAACGTAAAGATAGTGGGTACTTACGGGGAAAGCAAAAGGTTCTCTTTTCGTTATCACTGTTCGTCGCTTTGGTCGAAATTCTACTGTTTCATGTTTAGATGATCTTTACGCATTGGACGTTGCAGAAGTTATTTTGTGACATTCATGTTTTTGTTCATTTACAGTACAAAATCCGCTGATGAGAGCCGTTATGGCGCGCAACCACCAAAAATTACGCGCTACCGTCCACGCGACATGGAAACAAGGTCGCCGCTCGTGAATGTGTCTACCAGCATCTACTTCTATCAGAATATCTAACCTGTATCGCTACTTGTAGCATGGTGACCTCTTCACGCAGCTCACGGTGCAAATTGTCGACGGCAGCTGACTGGACCTTCGCTCAAGGACGAGCTGCCCTGCGCATCACTGTCATCAAGAGACATCTCACTTCTTTGAATTGCATCATTTAGCGATTTGGTGTAGCTTAAATGATTTCTCTTCAAAATGAACAGTTGAAAAAACAAGACGGTGAGAACTATTGGCGAGCTGAGCAACAATATACACTAATTGTCAATAAAATAAGCCAAAAGGACATATTCAATCATGAATAATGAATTCTAACCGATCAATGACGGCTAGCCATTTTGTGGCAGTTCTCCTGACAATAGATTTCGTTTGAGATGACCTAAGCATATCCACGTGCAGTGTCTGATGCCTCTGACTAGTGGAGCGGAAGCGATCGACGTCAGCACGAAGACGATCGCGATCTGTTTTTGCCTGTTCTAGAGCAGTACGGAGACGGTCAAACTTCGCCCTAGAATGGAGTCAAATACTGGTGTAACTTCAGCCTTCTCAAAAGCACATGTATAAAAAACTCACGGACACATCAGCTTCCTTATTTTGTTCACGAACGTCAGCAAAACCAGATTTCAACCTTTCAAACTCCCCAGAAAGTCGCTCAAGTTGGGCCACGGTCTCCTGATTCTCACGCTTGCACATCTCGTATCGCTCTTCGTCGTATTCGATGAGGCCTCGCTTCAAATCGGGAAACAATTTAACGAAGATCGAAGTTATGGTTTTAACGGTGTTCCATCAAAAATCAATAGCCTAGGAAATGCGGCTATAATAGAAACTTGCGCAGCGAAAAGCCCGTCTTAGAATAGAGAGCAGCATGACCTATAAAAACTTTAAAAAGTGTTTAGTCGTTGATTGAGCAAGCAACTAGGTGTTACTCAAGATGAAGTCGATGAGAATCTTTGCACGTTTGTGTTTTCACCTGTTTTTCATGCCAAGCCCATCTGGAGGACAAGTTCTATCGAACCTCGGGAGTTGCTGCAGACCTACAATCTCACACAAGCTCGTAAGCCAGAAATAGGCGTTCCATATCCTCATCATCGTGAACGACATAAGGTAGCTTGTTCGGAGTGTGGGTAGGTTTGAGGCAATAATATCATTCTGTTTGAGACAGGACATTATACGATATTACTAGAATAGTATTAAATTGAAAGCTTATCATTTTAAGTCCTGGATGAGAGACGCGTAAACAACTAAACGGCGAAGTTATAAGCACATGCAAGAGTTGAACTTGGTTTATTTTTAGTGAAAAATCAGACAAGTTAAGATGCCGATGCCAGGAACATTATGTAGGAAGAAAGACAAAACATTCATAAAAGCAACCCCACAAGTTCGGGCAGATCGATAATGGGAAGACAGTCTGCTGAAACGCCACGTTATCCCGCAATTGTAAGCCGATGCGCATGTGTCGCGACGGCCTTTAGAAGCAATACATCTTATTGCAACTTCAGCCGCTAACAGTTACCAACCACCACTGTTGAGTAGGACTCTACTACCTTAGGCCAGAGAAAATGCCCTAGGATCTCTCGACCCCTACACAGGATATAGCAAAAATTCTTACACTTCAATGTGATATTTGATCAAAAAAAAAACCAAAACTTTACTATCCTTCGATGAGGCGTAGTTCAGCTCTGCGATGAACCAGAATAAACAACAGAGATTATTAACCACGTACCAATTCGACGCGATTAAGCCGGTCTGATAATTTGGTATCTTAGAGTGCAGTCGTGGCAGAGTCATCTCTTTGTATTTTTCAAACTCCTCATTCAAATCATTATAGGCTTGCGCTAGCTCCTCATGTTGAATTCTGAAATTGAAGAAGAAATGAAAAAAATTGCACTACTACGTATTAGCTAATGACGACCCAGGCCACTATACTTCACGAACACTTACGAACAAAACACACTTTAAATTCTCGGATTCCTGAACCTTAGCTTCCAGATCTGAGGAAGCAGCCCTGCAAGCTGCACCAGCCCTGCGGTGCGGCTTAGCATCTTCGCAGCTTCTCTTCTATGCGGTCTACCCACGCGTTAGCTTTCAGACCTGTCAACCAGCGTCCGAGTACCACCATTTGCGATCATCACATCAGCTGAGGCGCTGTCACTAGCTGGTTGTACGGCTGCTGACGCACCTTAAGTAAGTGTTTTTTATATAACGTCTCACTTACTGCATAGATAGCTGCCTCTTCGCATACCATTTCCTTCATTTCTCGTTTTTCGTTGTCTTAGGAACTCTTCTTATTTCCAGCGTCAACACAGCCATCACAATACATCGGTATGCTAGTGCGGATGATGACGCTACCCCCTATATGTGCAATAGAATTTGTATATCGATGCTTTGACAGTAACAAAAACAGTTTGGGACGCAGCAGCGAACAAATAACGGAATACCTATGAGGGGATATTAAAAAGGAATGCAAGATGTCGATCCGCACCTTCAAAGCGGCACATCTCAATTCAGGGCTTACCTCACTGACGTAGATAAGAATCAACAATCTACTCCCTCTGCCATCTATTATAGCATTAGTTATTCCCAGCTTGAAGCCTTCATAATTCCCATTGGCTTCATAATAAATATGAAGCTAATGGCGCAATAAAATTGTTCGACGTTTCCATCTAGATATGGTTTTTTAATCATTTCTCCACAGGGCTCCGTCAGAATTTTTTGCCATTATACGATTAGAATACGAAGGAGTTCTCGCAGGACCACACGTGTCGTTTATTTGTGCACATGTTGTCGGTGATAAATGATTTCGCCTGTGCTACATGGAGGAATGTTTACAGGAACTTGGCAATTTCTGCGTAGGAATCTCTTGCCAACATGCTGCCGAATATGCATATTAGCCAACGGATATATCTCTCTTATATTGTTAATCCTCGCAGCAGCCAGCCCCTCTTATTCGGTTAAAGCACTTCTTGCCGACAAAAGTAGTATGTCGCAGGATCCACATAATACACAGATTCTTGCTGACGTTACCTCAGCTCTCAAACTCATGGCCTCGGCAACCATTTGGTACGCGGATCTAGGGTATACTGGGCAACAACACTTCACTCTAGAGCGGGACATCGAGACCCACAACCCTTTCCATTATCTGAACACTTGAAGTTACCGGCATCACGACACCATACGACACTACACTATTCGATGGTACCTTACCGCATCCGTGCGTTAGTAAGCGCTTAAAGCCAATGAACAATGGTGATTAACATTAGCAGGTACACGACATGTGAAAAGCGTGTACCGAGGCTGGTTGGAAAAAGCGGCTGCACAATAGACCAAGCGATAGATTCCAGTGCGACTATCGCCTGAGACGAACTGTTTTGCCCACCACCAAGCATCCTTTCCATTACTCAAGTTTTTTTCTCCGAAACGATTCGAAACTGACCTCTAGTGCAGTTATTCGCTCTTCATACATTTCCCTCATTTCGTTCATATTGCGCGAATGTAATTCCATAAGAGATGCGATCTCTTCTTCTTTGCGTCTTCGCTCTTCCGCGAGCCTCTGTTCCAGTTCATCTTTAGAGACCTTAAAAAAACTCTTCAATCAACGTAAGACTGAAAGCACTCCGCATGGATTAGACCTTTCTTGGGATGTGCCACGTATTGCTTCAAAAAAGTGAAATTTGGCTTAAGAAGAGGCGTAACAAATTTATGGTAAAAAGAAAAGGCGCGAAAACTTTAACTTCCGGAGCCCTCTACTTTTTCATAGGACTTTTCTATTTCCAACGGTACAGTTTTGATAGTCCTTTTGAGTAACACGAATGTGCTGGGAAACCATCATCGATTTGAATTGTCTAAGTTTCCGAAATATCGGAATATTTTGCCCTTTTAAGGTAATAAAGAAGCTGGTCTTGGCAGTTATCATGTAGGTCACTCATCCCGCAAACTTTACTGATCGGCAGGAATACTGATTTCTGTTAGGCTGGTGTCCGAGTCCGCGATCCATAGCGCGACTCGCGCCAATCGCGCAGCGGATCGCGAGGCGCTCTCCCATCCCGCCGACATTTCTTCTTGATGGTGATGGTATACTTGTTTCATATTCAGTGTTTCAAATGTTCAAATGAGGCACTTGCGATTTTTGCGAGCGTGACGGATCGCAGACTTTGACACCAGCCTTAATTGGACGAGTGTCACAAGGGTAGATGATTTTTTAATTGAAACTCGACAAGACTAGCTCGTTAGAAGGCGAAGACTGTCGACTTGGAAAGGTTGATGGGAAGGATTGCGAAGAATGCAGAACAGAACACAAAGGCAAGAAAAAGAGCAACTTTCTACCATGGTACCAAAAAACAAAGCAAATACGGCAAGAAACTTTTTCGACGATCCCTTGGCCATGAATTTTTGTTGGCGAGCATTATTTAAACAAAGGAAGTGGTCGTTTGCGCAAGTTCAAGGCCCAAAACGAACTATTCAACCTAATTCTTCGGATATTTTGGCCGGAGTGATAGCCTTCAGAATAACGATGATACTATTAAAAAGGAGACTCTGCACGCAACAATTTCATTCAGGCGTAATGCAGGGAAAGAAATACCGTAATTTTGCTACACTTGGCACCATCACTGTCTTTAGCAGTCAAGCATTTCATAACCGAAACCTTCAGCTGCCTGGCCAAAACTGGCACCAAAACGGAGCGATTTGATGACGTCATTGAGTGTGGTTGGTAGAACGGGGCAAGGAGGTGGTCCCAATTTCATCTAGTCTTCTCTTGCGACTCACCAATGAAGTTAATTCGCTCCACACTCTAGTCACCGTGCTCTTCAATGCTTCACTTCTCTAGCGTCCCATCAAACTGAAGCCCTATCCTGCCCGGAAAATGCTTACATTCTTTCCCAACATGAACATGTCAGTTGTGAACACAACAACACACAAAGTTTCACGCATGAAGATTCAGTTTCCGAAGAGAAACAAACTTACGAAAATTACACTCTATGGACGGTCGAAGGTAGGTCGGGCGGGAACAAGGGAATGCATTGGAAAAAAGCGCTTTGAGGCGGCCAAGTGTCAGGCGATGCATTGAAAGAATCGGCTTTAGCGTTCAAATTCAAAGAATAGAGACAACGATCAATGGAATAGGATGCAGTAGAAGTATGAGATGTTAGTGCACTAGTGACGGTATTCCAAGAACCAAGTGGAAGGACTTTACGGAATTTGAACGGGTAACAGTCTTTCCGGTTTTTCGAATTGTTTACCAGAACATACTCAGTTTTTTGCACTTTTGTTCTTATCATTAACGTCAAGCACTTCACTTATGAGTGAGATGGAATCATTATTCTTTCGAGAAGGATTCCTTCGAAGCAACACCCCCAGATCAAATTTGTGGGTTCACAGCTATAATGGAGATGTGTATGCCGAGTTGACTAAAATGAAAAAAGAAACAAAAAAACGTTGATGAAGCTATTCAGTATCCCCTCTCATCCTCCTTGAAATAAGGAAGGGGCGGAAAACGGACGAGTTGCAAGGTC